TGGGCAGAGGGTAAGCAAGCGCAGAGCCACCCTCTTCAGGGACACTGGAGCACTGAGGCCAGTGCACATAGGAAGAAACCACCAAGGTTTCTGTTAGCCATGGTGGGCTAGCTGAATGTCTGCAACATCACTGAAAACAGTCGCAAGTTGGAGAGACAATGGCCTTTTCCAGAACTCCCCTGGGGGAAGCACTGTGGGAGATGGAAGGTTCTGGAATGAGGGGTTATACCTCGAGGGTCTGGCTTCAGAACATTGTCCTTAATTGTGGGGCTTTTGTTTTGCTGAGAGGAGGCCGCAAGTTTGAGGCAGAAAATGAAATATCTGGAATTAAAGAAGCAGCTGAGGTTGCTCCCCCGGCCCTTTCTTCCTGATGGTCCTTTTCTTTATTTATTAGAGCACTCAGCCTTTCCTCTAGGTAAATATTGAACAAATATTTTTAAAACCACTGTTAAACAGTGTCAAATTGTTATCCCGCCTCCACCTGACCCTGGGCATGGCTGTGGTGTGTATTGTGCTCTGTCCTGACTCTCTTTGGTTGAGTTGTAGGTGGCCCCATCGCTACAGGTGGAGATGGCCGCCCACCTGCCGTGAAAACACTTCTGGTGTCCACCATCTTGGGAGGAGCTCAGATGGGAAACCACAGGCAGGAGAACGTGGCTGGGAATGGAAAGCAGGAGTGGCTCTTGGTATTACTTTTGGCTAAATTAGGAGAAGGATCGACGTTTGGAGGTGGTGTTGGTTGCAGGGAAGGAGGAGTTGGGATGGAATGAACATTTTTAGCCCAGAGAAAGAGGGCAGTGGTTGTTGGCTGAGGCATCTACTGAAGGACTCCCATGGAGAAGACACATAAGGTGGGGGCAGAGTCCCTGTTGAGAGGGAGGTGCCCGTCCTACACAGAAATTCCTTCTCTCTGACAACTTTAGACATCTTAGTAGCGTTGCTTTTAGACTGACACCTTGGAAACCAAAAGTCCGTTTACCGACCACCTACATAACCTGGGATCCCTCAACCTGAAGGTTTAGGGCCCTATCGCACTGAGAGGTCCAGCCTTTGCTACAGCAGATGGTGTAAACTCCCACAGCCCAGTTATGTCCAGGGCTCAGCTGGGTTTTTAGCCTCCTTATCCTCAAACGTGGCAGGCACAGCTCTGGGCCAGTCAAGTGCTGAGCTTATCCAAGACATTCTTCCACCAGTCAGACTGGAAATACCGGAAAAGCAGTGGCAGCTGCCCTCAGACGCAGTGTCAGTATTTTTTTTTTTTTCCTTTTGGCCAGTTTTGTTTCGACTAGAAACTGGAATAATAATTACAATGCTACATGTTTACGGATTTTAACTAATTGATCCCTTGGAGTCCTCTTTTGGGGGAAAAGCATTCTACCCACCTCATACATCAGGAAAACAAGAGGCCATATGGTTTGGCTGGGCTGGGTGGTCTCTGGTGTCAGTAGGAGAGTGGAGGCTGTGGCTTCAACAGTTCTTGACTTCTTGGCCTGTGTCCAGATCCCTGGGCCTTGCAGCCCCTAGAAAGGTGACACATGAGAAATTGAAGTGGACCAGACCATAAACTCTCAGGAGCAGTTGCCTCTAGAGAGGAGGGCAGGTCTCGTGGCCCTGCCTGTGCCTGTTTCTCTTGGAGGGACAGGTTGGAGAGGAGGAAAACCCATTACTGCGGGAGTGTTTTACCCACCTTTAATTACCAGTTAAAACAAAACATTCTGCAATGAACATTCCCGTTGAAAGAAAACTCCGAGTTGTTGTGAAGGTTTCATCTTTCCCCTCGGAATCCCAAGGTCTGCAGCCATGTAGTCCAATGTTGGTCTGGAAAAATACTTGTCTACAGGCAAACACACATGGGGCATTGGGGTGACTGTAGAGGGCAGTACAGTAGTCTTCAGCAACATCCCTCAGGTCAAGCCCTGGCCTACTTATTAAGAACCCTCTGGCTGGGTGCGGTGGCTCACGCCTGTAATCCCAGCACTTTGGGAGGCCGAGGCGGGTGGATCACGAGGTCAAGAGATTGAGACCATCCTGGTCAACATGGTGAAACCCCGTCTCTACTAAAAATACAAAAAATTACCTGGGCATGGTGGCGCGTGCCTGTAATCCCGGCTACTCAGGAGGCTGAGGCAGGAGAATTGCCTGAACCCAGGAAGCTGAGGTTGCGGTGAGCCGAGATCGCGCCATTGCACTCCAGCCTGGGTAACAAGAGCGAAACTCCAACTCAAAAAAAAAAGAACCCTCTTAAACCTTTTAATACAAGGTAAGGTAGATATGTTTTCTTCTGATTCTCTCTTCTCTGTTGCCAGCAGTGTTTTTCTCAACAAATTAATGTGAGTTGGTGGTGGATGTGGAAGAGGGGAGAAGGGAAACCAAGCTCTCCAATGGTTATGGCTATTTCAAGACAAGGAAAGTGGTAGAAACACAGAGGGAGGCAGGCCGGGGAGCCTCCAACGCCAGCAGGTGAGGACACACACAGAGGCGTGCAAGTCAGCAAACCAACCCCGGCTGGTTCCCAGAGGGAAAAGCTCGTGCTTTCTAAGTGAGGAGCTGTGATGAAGCACAGCCGTTTTTTTGTTGGTGGTGGTATTCCTCTCACATAACTTCAAAGCTAAAATATCCTCAGTGCCACCATCTTCGTATTTCTTTCTTTTTTTTTTATTATTATACTTTAAGTTCTGGGCTACGCGTGCAGAACGTGCAGGTTTGTTACATAGGTATACACGTGCCATGATGGTTTGCTGCACCCATCAACTCATCACCACGTCAGGTATTTCTCCTAGTGCTATCCCTCCCCTAGCCCCGCCCCCAACCCCTGGCAGGCCCTGATGTGTGATGTTTCCCTCCGTGTCTGTGTGTTCTCATATTTCAACTCCCACTTATGAGTGAGAACATGCGGTGTCTGTTTTTTCACTCCTGTGTTAGTTTGCTGAGAATGATGGTTTCCAGCTTCATCCATGTCCTCACAAAGGAGCTGAGCTCATCCTTTTTTATGGCTGCATAGTATTCCATAGTGTATATGTGCCACATTTGCTTTATTCAGTCTATCACTCATGGCTATTTGGGTTGGTTCCACGTCTTTGTTATTGTGAACAGAAGCAAACTCTTTTCACAATGTGTGGAAGCAGATTACCAGCCCTGTTTGGAAGCACAACGTTGCCATCTCAATGGTTTCTCCTTCTGAACCCATAATAGGCATTTACTTAGACCAGATCCCATGTTGCTTTGTGTCATTGTCCAATTTTCTTATGTGGATGTCACCAATTCAATTGTAGACGTTTTCGTAACAGGGACCAGAGTTTTTCCATAATCAATAATAGTTTAAATGATGGAACAAAAAGTTTCCCCTTGTGTGCAATCAGCTGAGGAACATAAACTAATTGAAAAAGAAAAACTTGATTTTTCTTCCATCATTCTAGGTTTCCTGTCTGGCCCACACGTCGAGAGTCCTCCTGCAGCAGGGAGCACGTCTGTGAGCCATGTGTTTCCCTTCTTTGCTCCTGTACGACGGTATTTTTTTCCTTGGCTACTACAGGAAACCCAGCAGATTCAGATGTACAAGAAACCATACCAAGATCCAAGATGATATTCACTGATGTTATCAGCAGTTCTGACGCCAACATCTGCCTAGAGAGGGCTTGCCCTGAGAAGCTTATCCCAGTTCTAAGTTTGGTTGATCTGTTTTGAGGTGGTAGCCTCATACTGAAGTAATTTCTCCCCAGAAAAGGGTCTAGAAGAGGTTTATTTGTAATCTATTTTATGTAGCTGTGACTGCCTCAGGACACCTGTAAAGGGTTATTCAGAGTGTGTGTCTGGGCATGTGGATAACTGTTCCAGCTCAACAGCCTGCGAACACCATTAGCAGCCCTTGAAATGGATCTCCAGGAAGTGCTGGCTGTTAATGACTCTGCCCTGATGCTCCTATGTGAGCAGAACAAAGAGATAATGTCTAACTTTGCAAGTAGCTGAGTGCTCTAAATGGATGACTAGCTAAGGGGAAGGGAGACGCTGTGCCATCCGGAGTCTGGAAGACATTGGCGAAGGAACACTGGGAAATTAACAACTCTCCCATGGTAGGAGGTTGACTTTCCAAACTGACAGAAGAGTGACAAACCGATAGACTACAGTGCTGTGTCCCTTCTACTAGCTGAGGGAGGGCTTCACCAGAAGCAGTCAGAAGTGCTAAGAGAAGATTTATGTGGTAAGGGAGAGGGAATCTTTCCAACAATAACTATTAATTGACTTTCATTTTGTAGAAGAATATTGTATTAAGCGTTTGGAGATAGAAAAGTACGGCATGCCCTCAGAATGTTTGTAATTTATTTGGGGAGATAAGAGACATGATTGAAAAGCTAGTTGAAATACAAGGAAATAGAATATCCACTCTCCGTAATAATATTCAGCCATTAAAGTGGATGAATCTGATCCATATGTACTGAGTTGAATGGGATAACGCCAGTAGCGGAACAAGACACCATCTGTGTGAAAATTAAAGCAAAACACACAGATGTGTATGAACATATATGGGTATGCATGTGAACCTGTGTGTGTATGCACACACCTGAAGGGGAGCTGGAGGAGAGCCCTGGAAAAAGAGCCAGAGGTTCCTTTTGGGGACGGAAGTGAAATTGGGGAGGACAGAGGAGGGCGCCTTTCATATTTTTACCGCACATACTTTTGTATTGAATACATTATTTAGATCAAGAAAGCCTTTCTATATTTCTTACGTAAAAAAGGAAAAGAATGAAAAACATGGCCACAGAGCAAGTACGTGATGGATGCCAAGGGGTGACCCTAGAGGTGAAAGTGGTAGCCTAGTCTGCCCGTCATCTCATGAACGCTGCTGCCTCTCTTCTTCCTCCTTGTTTACAGAATCCCATTTTTGCTCAGGAATCGACCTGCCTGTGTCTCAGGAGATATCTAGAAAAACGTAAAATCATTGGGGGGGGGGGTCCCATCCCACACCTCTGCAGTGATTTGTTGGGCTTGGTCATGTGATGCCCTCAGGGCCAATGAGATTGGAGGGACTGTCCAGGGGGCTGCTGGGTAAAGCTGCCTTGCTCTTAAAAAGAGAAACAAAGACGCGAAAGGACCACTTTTTCCTCCAACAGGAAAGCACCAGTTTCTGGATGTGAGTGATGACTGGCAAGGTGGCGGCAGCCATCTGAGCCGTAGGGAGCTCTCCCAGGGACCAACCCAAACTCGGAGGAGGCTGGTAGAAAGATGGAAAAGCCTGAATCCTTGAAGATTTTGTTGAGCCACTCAATCACCCTACCCTGGAGCCGCCCGATCTCAGGACTTTGGCTCCAGTGAGAGAACACATTTGTTTTCGTTATAGCCAGCTGAGGTGGGAATATTTGTTACTTTCCAAAGCACATACCAGTCACAGGGAGCCCCGTTCGTGAGGCTTCAAGCCTCTTGGGTGCGTCTGAGAGGAAGTTTGAGTCCTCAGGGACATGGCCTCCGGGAACAAGAACTAGAAAGGGTCATAAACCCTCTGTGGCTGGGGAGGCAGAGAAGTCATCCTGAGCTAGGGGCACTGTTTGCCCTGGCACCTCGGTGGGTGAGAGGGACTGCTAGGGTGAGGTAGGGAGATATATTTAGTTCAAGTAGCCTCTCAGTCTGGCCCCTGGGATATTTGATACCCAGATCTTTTTTTTTTTTTTTTTTTTTTTTTTAGATGGAGTTTCCCCCTTGTTGCCCAGGCTGGAGTGCAATGGCGCGGTCTCGGCTCACCGCAACCTCCGCCTCCTGGGTTCAGGCAATTCTCCTGCCTCAGCCTCCTGAGTGGTTGGGATTACAGGCATGCGCCACCGTGCCCAGCTAATTATTTTTGTATTTTTAGTAGAGACGGGGTTTCACCATGTTGACCAGGATGGTCTCGATCTCTTGACCTCGTAATCCACCTGCCTCGGTTTTTTTTCTAATTGATACAGGTTCTAACTCTTTTGCCCAGGCTGGAGTGAGGTGGCATGACCTCCACTTCCTGCAGCCTTGACCTCCTGGGGTCAAGTGATCCTCCCACCTCAGCCTCCCATGTAGCTGGGACTACGGGTGTGCACCACCATGCCAAGCTAATTTTTTTGTATTTTTGTTGCTGTTGTTGTTGAAACAGGGTTTCCCATGTTGCCCATGCTGGTCTCAAACTCCTGGACTCAAGTGAGCCTCTTGCCTCAGCCTCCCAAAGTACTGTGATGACAGGCATGAGCCACCGCGCCCAGCCTACAAGTTTGTAACAGAATCAGGTGTAGTTGGAAACCATCACAGCTTCATGATAGTTGAAGGGAAGTTTTCTGCCTTCACAGAAGAAAACATCACTGCTGTCATGGGGAAAAAATATTAGCAGCCTCATGGGAGCTGGAGTAAGGCTGGAGTTGGGACACTGGCCAGCCTTGCAGAGCCACAGGTAGGTTGCAGGGGCTGGGCAGGCAGAGTCCCAGGCCGTGCTGTGGTGGGGAAGAGGCAGGCAGGGGGAAGGACCACTGCAGGTGTTCCAGGGTGCGCCAGAAGCAGTGATGCTTTCTATCGGTTTGTCGATTAATCTACTTGAATGAAACTCCATTCATCCCAAACTGGTATTGATTTAAAACATCTTAAACTGGGCTAATCTCTTGCAGTATGTTGGAGCTGTGCCCCTGAAGAGAGAACAGGAAAATAAAGTCTTATTGTGATTGCGCGTGTGTGTAGAGAGAGAGAAGAGAGAGGGGAAGGCCCTGAGAGGAGAGGAGAAGCGGGAGGGGGCGGGGGGAGGCCTCACTTCAGCTGTCCTGAGGAGCCGGTGGCTGCTTTCTGCATTGAAATAGCTGTTTTCTTCTGTTGTCTCGCCTCCAGCTTGAAATCAACCACCTCCCTCATTTCTTGGAATGAAGTCGAGGAAAGCTTACTCTTCCACTGGAAACCCCGAGAAGTAAAGTGAAAAACCCAGCCACGGGTCTTCCCACTGTGAGCTACTGAACCGTAAGGTCACGCAGAGCGACTTGAAAGTGCTTCAGGGGCCATAAATGCTCAACTCAAATCTCGTGTAAAACTGTTCCCATTTCATGCCTGTTAGGATAGCCTGTATCAAAAACCAAAGCCCTTGAAAACGACAATTGTTGGTGACTGTGTGGAGAAACCGAAACGCTTTTGCGCTATTGGGACTGTAAAATGGCACACTGGCTGAGGGAACAGTAGGGCGGTTCTTCCAAAAATGTAGCACAGAACGACTCCGTGGCGCAGCCATTGCACTGCTGGACACAGGCCCAAAAGACTGAACACGGAGACTCAAGCAGCTCTTTGTACCACAGGGTTCATATAGCAGCATTCTTCACAGTGGCCAAAGGGTGAAACGGCCACTCGATGGATGAATGGAGAAATGAAATGTGGTGTGTCCATATAATGGGGCATGCTTCAGCCTAAAGAAAGTAATGAAGTTTTGGCACGTGCTACAGCGTGGCTCAACCCTGACAATTATGCTAAGTGAAATAAGCCAGACAGGGGGCTGTGTAAAGAGGGGAAAGGGGGGTTATTGTTTAAAGGATACAGAGTTTCTGTTTGGTATGATGAGAACATTCTAGAAATGGATAGTGGTAATAGTTGCACAATAATGTGAATGTATTAAGCCCTTTTATGCCTAGTGTTCCATTACTGGAACGCTGGGCATGTGGGAGTGATTTATATCCTACTGCTCAAGGTCATTGACAAAGTCAGATTTTTCACAATTGTCTGCAACTCAAAAAATTGCAACGCAGGCATAAATGGGTTAGTGCCACTAAACTGCACACTTAAAACTGTTTAAAATTGTGGATTTTGTGGTAGGTATTTTTTTTTTTTTTTTTGAGTTGGAGTCTAACTCTGTTGCCCAGGCTGGAGTGTAAAGGCATGATCTCAGCTCACTGCAACTTCTGCCTCCTGGGTTCAAGGGATTCTGCTGCCTTAGCCTCCTGAGTAGCGGGGATTACAGGCACCTGCCATCATGCCTGGCTAATTTTTGTATTTTTGTAGAGATGGGGTCTCACCGTGCTGCCCAGGCTGGTCTTGAATTGCTGACCTCGGGTGATCTGCCTGCCTCAGCCTCCCAAAGTGCTAGGATTCCAGGGGTAAGTCACTGCACCTGGCCCGGTATGTATGTTTTAACACAATTTTTAAAATGAAAAAAAAAAATTCTATTTACAGAACTGTAATAAGGACACTCAGTTACTAAAAAATACACACGGGGTCCACCTGTGTGCTAAGCTGGGCTTCCCTTTTACCTTCTCTCTCTCTCTCTTTTTTTTTTTCTTTTTTTGAGACAAAGTCTCACCCTGTCACCCAGGCTGGAGTGCATTGGTGCTATCTCGGCTCACTGCAACCTCCACCTCCTGGGTTTAAATGATTCTCCGGTCTCAGCCTCCTGAGTAGCTGGGATTACAGGCGTGAACCACCCCGTCCAGCTGATTTTTGCATTTTTTAGTAGAGATGGAGTTTCACTGTGTTGGCCAGGCTGGGCTCAAACTCCTGACCTCAGGTGATCCACCCCACTCGGCCTCCTAAAGTGCTGGGATTCCAGGCGTCAGTCACTGCGCCCAGCCCTTTTACCTTCTCTTTGTGCTCACCTGGGAATCAAAGTTCTCCCAGCGTTTCCACCAGGGAGTTTGCATTTATTGCAGATATACCAGTGGCTAGGAAGTTTGTATTTCTTGTATGGATCCATTAAAAATTCAGACTTGCTTTTCTCCACTCACATAAAGTCGCGGAAACATCGCTATAACATGCCCTATCACAGCCAAAAGAGCCAGTTGTGTATAAACAGCTTGGGACATGCTGAATTGTGATGTTATGTTTGTCCTTTTTTGTGAAGTTTTGATGCTTCTTGCCTGACTTTTATAGCTGTGAATAAGAATACAAGTGACCGTCAGATATTGCCCGCGGTTCTGCTTTAAAACAGAAACTTCCCTCTCGTTCTCTTCTCCAGCATCTGGAGCAGGTTAAACAAAGAGCATCTTGACACAACCATCTGGAACGTCCTCTCGATTTCTGTATTCATCAAAATGTACAAGTATTATAAATTTGAACTTGTAAAATTAAACTTTACCAATAAAGTACTACATTCGTTTCAGACATTGTGGTTTCAATCAGATTTGAATTCCGAAAAGTTTCTGCTAATAAAGAAAAAGTTTGAAACGCACTGCATTTGCTCAGTTCCCATTCGGTTCAGTTAAATGAATGCTCATTGAAGGCTTTGTTCAATTCATAGCTGGACACACACCATACACGGGTGAGAGACAAGGCATAGGACAGTTAAATTCTGATTGTTCTTGAGCTAAGAATGGTTTTGCATTTTATTTGACTTCAGTTTTTTAAGATGGAGTCTCATTGTGTCGCCCAGGCTGGAGTGCAGTGGCACAATCTCAGCTCACTGCAAACTCCGCCTCCTGGGTTCAAGCGATTCTCCTGCCTCTCCTCCAAAGTAGCTGGAATTACAGGTGTGCCCCACGATGCCTGACTAATTTTAGTATTTTTAGTAGGGACGAGGTTTTGCCAAGTTGGCCAGGCTGGTCTTAAACTCCTGACCTCAAGTGATCTACCCACCTCGATCTCCCAAAATGCTGGGGTTACAGGCATGAGCCACCATGCCTGGCCTGGTCTTTACGTTTTAAATAGTTAAAAAAAATTTAAAAGAAAAATATCTCATGATGTGAAAATTATATGAAATTTGAATTTCAATGTCCATAAAATAAAGTTTCATTGGAACTTTATTTGAATTTGAATTTCAATGTCCGTAAAATAAAGTTTCATTGGAACTTTATTTGAATTTGAATTAATAAAGTTACATTCATTTGTGTCCTCTCTCTAGCTGTTTTCATCCTACCACTGTACTCCTGAGTAGTTCTAACAAAGGCCATAGAGTCCCAAAGCCCAAAACATTTACAGAAAAAGTTTGCCAATCTTGGATTAGATGACGACCATATCCACGTGAAGCCTGATCATCAAGACCTGAGAAGTTCACCATCTCGATGTTGGCAGTGTTTTGGCAGCATTACTGCAGGGTTAGCCTAGATCAGTGGGTCTCCAGGCTGGGCAAAACGAGCTCCCAAGAAGCTGTAGGGAAATGTGTGGGCACAGCTTTCGTTTTAATGACAAGACTCGCCATGCATATTTGGTAGGCAGGGACTAAAAACGTTAAATGTCAGGCAGTGTTGGGTACAGCCTTGCACCATAGAGCACAGGGAGTACCCTGAGAAACGGGCATCCTGGGATTGCCATGATTAATTTTACAAGGCAACTTGGCTAGGCCATGGTGCTCAGATACTGGTAAGCCATTATTTTGGATGTGTTTGTGAGGGTTTTTGGCAGGAGGCTAATATTTAAATCAGCCAAGTTGAAGTAAAGCAGATGGCCCTCTCTAACATGGGTGGGCCTCACCCAATCAGTTGAAGGCAAGAATAGAACAACTTCTGACCTCTTGGAGCAAGAAAGAATTCTGCCAGCAGATGGCCTTTGAGCATCAGTTGCAATTTTTCCTGAGTCTCTAGACTGCTGCCTACACCATTAGATTTGGGATTCACCAAGGCTCCACAATTACATGTCAATTCCTTAAAATAAATCTCTCTCCACTTACACACACACACACACACACACACACACACGGTTGGTTCTGTTACTTGGCAAAACCCTGACTAATATAATTACCCCAGAGTATCAGTTTCTCGTCTGAAAGTGATTTTCAGTCCACTCATTCTTGTGCTTTGCAAATTCTACCTCTTTTTCAAATTTCAGAATTCAGAAAATTTCAAAAATAAGTTGACATTGCAAATTTCATCTCATCAAATGCTAAAAAAAGGGGGTCACACTCCTGCATCTAGGACTCGAATTCAATAGATGTGGTGTGTAATTAAACAAATGAGTATTGAACTCCAGTGACCCATTTGGCAGATGCTGTTGGGGAGTGGTACGGAGATAGCGTATAGTCTCTGTCTCAATTTACCCAGAATGGAGAGAGGGCAACTTTCAGGCACATAATTAATGGGACTACCAGGCCATTTCTGAGAGGCCCTATTACAGAGGTACAAATCAGGACCTGTGGGAGTCCGTCTCACAGGAGGTCGTAACTCCAACCAATGAAGCCTCCCCACTAGTAAAACCTATTTTTCTTTTCCCTTCTGAACTATGTATCTCCCAATTATGCTCAGTGAAAAGCCATAAGCTTCTCTGGTTTCTCACCCAAGTCCAGAGAGAGACAAGCCCTGGGTTCAGATGCTGGACCACATCATCCCACAAAGACCTCACCCACTGCAGGTGCACAACGGGAAGGTGTCATCTATGTTGGTTACACACCCCATTTTTAGCTGGATGTGGCTAATTATTTTCTGCTCAAGGCTCTTTCTTGTCTTTTTTATTTTTATTTTTTAGAAGGAGTTTTACTCTTGTTGTCCAGGCTGGAGTACAATGGTGTGATCACAGCTCACTGCAACCTCTGCCTCCTGGCGTCAAGCGATTCTCCTGCCTCAGCCTCCTGAGTGGCTGGGATTACAGCCATGCACCACCATGTCCGGCTAATTTTGGATTTTTAGTAGAGATGGGGTTTCTCCATGTTGGTCATGCTGGTCTTGAACTCCTAACCTCAGGTGATCCCCCTGCCTCGGCCTCCCAAAGTGCTGGGATGACAGGCGTGAGCCACCGCGTCCGGCTGACTCTTTCTTGTCTTTTTCATCACACAAAGTAACTGCTTATTACACTCTCATTGTAAGGGTGTGAACCATAGGGCAGTGTGGAAAATAAAATGTGAAAATCTGTTACATCTGTTCTCATCTCCTCATGTCATTCATTATTGCAACAAAAGCCAATTGTCCTCCCTTTGGGAGGCTGAGGTGGGTGGATCACTTGTGGTTAGGCATTCAAGACCAGACTGGCCAACATGGTGAAACCCTGTCTCTACTAAAAATACAAAAAATTAGCGAGACGTGGTGGCTCATACCTGTAATCCCAGCACTCGGGAGGCTGAGGCAGGTGGATCACCTGAGGTCAGGAGTTCGAGACCAGCCTGGCCAACAGAAGAAACTTCATCTCTACTAAAAATACAAAAATTAGCTGGGCGTGGTGGTACATGCCTATAGTACTATCTACTTGGGAGGCTGAAGCAGGAGAATCACTTGAACTCAGGAGGTGGAGGTTGCAGTGAGCTGACATCACACCACTGGGCAACAGAGCAAGATCCTGTCTCAAAAAAACCAAAAATACCCCAAAAAACCCATAACCTATTGTCCAGTCATGTCTTTCTTGCCACCAGAGCAGGGGACATGCCACTCATGAGAAGATCTTCTCTGTTGCTTCCAAGCATTCAGCCCTGCACTCAGTCCAGAGCTCACCCAGGGCAGAGTCATGGTGCCAGGGCATAGAGTCCAGACGCCAGAGCCATGGCCATCAGAGATGGTGTTTTTGTTTTTTAGGGCTCTGTAACAAATGATCACAAGCCATGTGGTTTGTAACAACAGGAAAGTATGCTTTTGCAGCTCTGGAGACTGGAAGTCCAAAATCAAGATGTTGGCAGGGCTGTGCTCCCTCTGAGGCCTCCAGGGAGGAGGCTTCCTTGCCTCTCCCTGGCTTCTAAAGTTTTCTGGTCCTCCTCAGCCTGTCACTGCATCTCTCCAATCTCTGCCTCTGCCTTCACGTGGCCATTTTCTTCCGTGTGTCCAAATTTCCCTCTTACAAGGACACTGACTAGTGGATTGGGGCTTACACTCCTCCAGGGTGACCTCATATTAACTTGATTACATCTGCAAAGACCCAAGGAAGGTGATATGGTTTGACTGTGTCCCCATCCAAATCTCTTCTTGAATTGTAGCTCCCATAATTCCATGTATTGTAGAAAGGACCCAGTGGGAGAGAACTGAATCGTGGGGGTGGGTCTCCTCACACTGTTCTTGTGGTAATAAGTCTCAAAAGATCTTATGGTTTGATAAGAGGAAACCCTCTTTGCTTGGTTCTCATTCTCTCTTGCCTGCCGCCATGTAAGACATGCCTTTTACCTTCTGCCATAATTGTGAGGCCTCCCCAGCCACATGGAACTGTGAGTCCATTAAACCTCTTTTTCTTTATAAATTACCCAGTCTTGGGTATGTCTTTATCAGCAGCATGAAAATGGACTAATACAGAAGCTCACATTCATACAAAAGGGAGTTATGACTTGAACAAATCCTTTCAGGGGACACAATTCAACCCACAACAGATGGAGACTTCATACTTCTAAACAATCCAGAAGCCATGATGGCCCCAAGCAAAAAAATCATCTCTCTCCAAGGCCAGTCCAGCTCCACCATGGCATGTGGGCAGAGGATGAAAACACCACCCCAATTCCACGCTCCCCGTGGACTGGTCTCACTGCTCTGCAGAATGACCCCCGTGGGGACCTGGTCCAAGGTCATGCGCTGCAGCCCCAGCAACGGCTTGCTTCAGTTTGCGAGCTGTGCAGAACAGACAGCCCAAACAGCAGTGGCTTGGGGAAAAGCCAGGCTTTCTTGAAAAGCTGTCATTTCAGAAAGAAAGAAAAAAATTCACTTATTTTTTGGATAGGTGCTGAGTATCAGAGATTTAAAAACTTGGCTCTGGCCACAAAGTATCTGAAAGTAGAGGCTATTCTGTAAAGATCAGACTCTTCCTAAACCACCAGGCCGTCCAACCACCTCTTGGCAACTTCTGAGGGACCCGTTGAAGTGGCCAGAGGACTGCCTCAGGGAAGCATGAGGGAAGCACATGGCCCCTTCTGGTAACTTGCAGAGGAGTGGCGATGGGACAGAGTGTGAAGCTAGGGCAGGAATGGGGACATTTTACAAAGGTGGCTTCCCTCCTCTCCCGGGCTCACTGGTACACAGATGAGAGTTGACAGCTTGCTGAATAGCCATTGGGTTCAGAAATACAGCTTCAGACATATCATCTTGTAACTGGAGCCATCCAAACCTCTTCTTCTGAACGTTCCCATGGCAAAAACACAGATTTTCACAACATTCCAAGAAAATCCTGAAATTGAGTCCTGTAGAGGGCTTGAGATTGTTTTGCCAAGGAAATAATGTTCCACACATTGGAGGTCCATCTGCCTGGGCAGATGT